AAGTCATTACTCTGAATATCAATTATCCTGCAAGCACCTATAATCTACGAGAGATTTATCACTTTATGTGTTATGCATTAGTTTAATTAGGCTAGATAGTATATATGAGTTCTATATTTCAGCCTTAAACAGAACTGCGCTAACAAGCTTTTTCATGGAATAAAAGTAACAAAAATGGCTTTGATGGAGCCAGGAATCTTGATACTCATCTTGTTACAGACATATTGTCATTTTCAGGCATTAATGCAGGACTTTTTGTCACTTTCAATCGCTTGGTTTCAAATTTCAGACATTTTGAAACTTGGGAACACGATACTAACACTTTGATCAGACTATAGATAATCCTATAAGAATATTTAGCTGGGCAAAGCGAGTACGAAGAATGTTGATGATATCATGTGGATATAAAGCATATTTTTAACATGCTTAGGATATGCAATTTCCGTAGGGACTACTGAATACAGAAATCTACACTTTCAACTCTTGAAGAATAATGGTTCGTTTCATTCCGCTCCTTAATGTGCTGCCAACGAATTATTTCCCATATCTAGTACTTCTAATATCCTATTTTCAGTGCAACTCATCCTTTCAGTAGAGGGTTAGCAGCGTTTGCGCTGCGTTACTTGTTCCATTAAAAAAAACCTGATGTTTTCTTATATTTTTTTAACGTTAGCGCATTTATAATATACACATACGGACAGATAATAGAATATTTAGACGATTTCTAAGGGCAGAACTATATGTGTGGGTATGACACGGCCTACACTTATGTACCACACCGAAATAGGTCTCGTAAAGATTTTTTTTAATGTTCGCCATCACAAAAACGGGACCGGGACAAGACTACAAAAAAGTATTAGCCGTGACCAGAACTAAAAAAACGTGATCCCGCAGTTCCTTGATCAAATCGCACAGATACAGAAGAGATCCCAGTAAAAGATGGATAAAATCTAATCGGTGTTCATCCTGCAATTTCTGTGAAGATCTTGAGCAAGATCGAGTGTAAATCCTAGTAGAACCCTTTTTTATTAAATAATAGAGAAGTCTGAGAAGGGAATTGAATAGATACTGAGAAGAATCCCTCTTTCACAATGATATCCTGCAAATTAGTATTATTAAACTTAGAAACAGAATACTAAATAAAACATGACAGCAATCCATCAGAGAAAAACAGAATGCAGCAGAAACCGATAAGCAACACAATAATATGAAATTCATAGACAAATGGTAGATATTAATAGGTCCTAAAAATGAGCAGAATCCATCATGATATGACAAAAGTTATTGAGACATATGAGCACCTCAATGTTCAGAATTTTCTTTGTCTCCTTACAAGGGAACATTCCTGGATGCCAGAATGTTTTCCAGGCGGGGTTTCGCGAACCTTATAGCCCATTGTGAGCTGTGTCTATGGTTGGAAAAAATTCTGGTTTCTGACTTGTTTCTGAGGAGATATCGAGCTTCTAGTGGATTTTCTCTACAGTATGCTCACATTGACAGCAAAGCTATTGTTTCGAATTTTGACCTGAAACTTTGTCTGCGTAAAATCCTCAGCTTGACTAGTTTGCATAAAAAATTTCAGAAGTTTTGGACAAAGCCTCTTTAAGATAGGAAACCTTGAAAACAATGCATACTATATATATATTATTTATGAAAAAAGGGACTGTACCCTGATAGTTTCATATCTTAGAGAGACTTTATTCAAAACTTCTGAAATTTTTTATGCAGACTAGCCAAGCTGAGGACTTTATGCAGGCAAAGTTACTGGTCAAAGTTCGAAACAATAGCTTTGCAGCCAATGTGAGCATACTATAGAGAAAATTCACTAGAAGCTCGATATCTCCTCAGAAACAAGTCAGAAACTCGAATTCTTTTAACCATAGACACAGCTCAGTATAGGCTATAAGGTGCTCGAAACCCCATCTGAAAAGCGCTCTGGCGCCTGGAAATGTTCTCTTATTAGTCACAAATCTGAAACCAGTAATCCCTTGTTTCATGTATTTCCGTTGGACCCTAATGGATCGTTGCATTCATGAGAATTAGTTTCCTCCACCCACATTCTAGTACACTTCAAACAATTAATTCTAACATTCATCAGATTGCATTAGGATCTATAGAATCCGCTTTTTTCCCTTTGCCCTACACCCACACTCTCTAGGATAGAATAACAAATAGCAGCAAGGAATAAGATAAATAAATGAGTAATATAAGAAATATGTCGAATCAAATGAATCTATAGCACCCTATGTGTAACTTTTTATTCATTCAGTAATCTGACAGTTTAACATACTTAAACCAGTAAGGAAGTAGCACAGCCTTCGTGTTTATTAAAAGACAAGAGGCTCTCTTTCTATGACCATATTATTTTTGACACCAATTTTGACACAAGAGAAAAAGAGTTTCAGAGTGAAGGAGAAATTGGTTCAGAGACTCTTATTGCATGAAATTGAAAATTTTTGCTAGCTGACAAAGAATACAATTATGAATTTGGTCTAAGGATCAGCTATATTTCTCTGATTTGGATTTAAAAAAAGCAATATAAGGATGTGGATATGGATGTGAGTGTGGGAGTCGCGTCTGGGTATGAATATCAATGTGGGTCTGAACCTTTCTCTTCTCACACACTCACACCCTATCCACACGCTGATAAAAATTTCAGCTCTCTACGTAAAGATAAAATATGGAAAATATCATCAACAATTCAGCTTCAGTTATTATGGGACACCCTTTACGGTACTTCGTAGTCTCATAAAAGTCTAGAATGGGGATGATTTCTTTATATCACATGTTGTATCCACTGACCTCTACAAAATGGAAAATATCAGATTCGAAACGGAGCTTCACACTTGGGAATCTTCCTTCGTTAGCTTGTTTCAACTTATATATTTGTTGAGATAGTACTTTTTTCCTAATAAAACACCTCTTACAGTTGTTAGAGTAACCATAGCCAATCTCCTCCAAAACGAGCCATAAGCACGAACCTTTTTTTACCATAGACACAGCTTACTAAGGTCTACAAGATGTGCTAAGTCTCGACTTGAAGTCGCTCGGACACCTAAGAATGTTCCCTCGTAAGTGAAGTAAATATTTCTTTTTAGATTTTGTGAATTCCATTCAAGAATATGCGTTAATATATGATACTGATTTCAATATTTAAATGCTCATTTTTTGACAACATTAAGAGTTATACTTCCCAATTTAAAACTCATCTTTCAAATTTATGCTCACTTTCGATTCGCTGTTTCTTAATCGGAACAAAATAAGTCAAGAATATCTCTATAATTCCTACTAATAAAGTGAACAAAAAACAATACTTTTCATGTTCACAATGTTTAACTTTGAAAATTCGATAGTAAATAGAGTTGTCATTGTCCTCAGATTCGAATTTATTCGTTTAAATTACTAGATGAAGTGGAAAATTTAATGCGTAATGATCGAAGGAAGAATGATTGCTTTAGTGGAAATATTATTTCAATCGATTGCTTTTAAAGACGAGTCATCTTGTATTGCTAGTCGATCGCTTCTTGCTTAAGGTCAGTACTTTTGTGTTTTCAAAATTTTTCTCAATGACACAGAGGATTCAATCCAATAATAGAACCAGCTCGGACCCGGCAGGAATCCGATAAAATTTATATGGATTTTTGCGAAACCGGCGAAATCCTATAGGAATTCTGGAAACTAAATGACATCCGGATTCCTAGTGTTAGGATCCTACTATCGGAATTCGACGGAGTCCAACACTTCACTCTGACTGATCTCTACTATTGTCACCAATTAGTAATTAGTACTTATTTAATTAAATAGGTTTCATCCGTCGGATCCATTAGTAGATTCGTTTTCCGGTACCCCATCGGATTCTATCGGATGGATGGATCCAATCAGATCCGATAGGTCCCAGTATTGGATTCATTCACCTAGGTTGGTTTGATGAAGTTTCTATTTATTTCTAAGGCTTTGTGTTAATTAGACAAAAGTCATTCGCTGCTTTTTGACCCTTGCAAAAATCGTCCACAAGAACTCTTATATATGCTATTAATTTTTGTATTTGACATGTCATAGAACAGACACTGTTATTTCATGTACAATGATTTATCGAATTTGAATGCTGCTTCTCTGCTCGTGTTGTTTTTCTAGAGAATTCTTGTAGTGGATGCAGCAGATCTTACAGGGAAAAAAATCCAAAATGAATCATAAAACTCTGATTTCAGGAGAAACTGGAGTCCGAAGTTATCAATTTAGATCCAAGAGTTTTTTTTCGAGTCTTTCAAAAAAGCAAGAACGTAAAATTTTGATTCTAAATCAAAGTTTTTCACTCTTCTCTAATATGTTCACGTTGAGTAAAAGTAAGCAAATATCTTGTCTGTAAACATTTGATTTTCCGTTTAGAATAGAACGGAATAGAAACGAACAAGTTTTCGTTTAAACAAAAGACACATTTTGATAGAAACTTTTCATCGATGATTGATTGAAAATTTTTCTAAATATTAGTTTGTGTATTCCAATTAATTTTTATTGCTAAATTTTGTGTTATTATGTCGAAAAATATTAATAACTTTATTTTGAGAGAGCTTCTAAGTTGAAAAAGAAAATTAAAATAGTGCTGATTTCGATAAATGTTGCTGAAGCTGTATAATTTTCAAAACTTTTGCAAGCAATTATAATCTTATTTGCATATATCAATATCAAATGAAAAAAATGACTAAGAAACAGAGACGAAGTTAAATATTTTTTTATACGAATTAGAAATACCGAATTTTAAAGCTTCAACGTGTTTAAAATTATTCGAAATTACCGGTATTTTTACAAAAAATTTCAGAATAAATCATATTTATAAGACTTGAATGAGTTTTACCGAACTTCAAAAATTAAATGACACTTCAAAATCGCACTCACTGCTGATTTAGTCGTCATATTTTGTTTTTCGGCTTTCAGATAACATCAAAATTTGTTTATTTTCGTATTTGTACCATCAAATAACAGCCTAAAAGTGTATAATTATTATGGCTTACTCTGTACTTCCGCCAACATCGAATAATTCTTTAAAAACTGTTGAATGGATGTGGCAATCAAATCCAAACCCATTTTCAAAGTCTGAACCGGCTACATGGGGTCATTATTCAGATTTAGAAAACTTAATTATCGAACGGGCGTTCAAAACTAAACAGCCACGAGCTGTCTTGGATAGTTATTACATTGATTTCGAAAGTAAACTGCAAATATCCAACATTGATGATTACAAGCAAAGACCGATAAAACGTGTGGTACGTAATAGAGACGATAAACACTTAAGGGAAGCACGTTTTATGGATCTTCCTGTTAGCTCCGGACGTTCATTTGGTGGTGAATATGGTTGGGTATCCCCGTTTGTAATAGAAGTCAGACGAGACTTGAAACTCGAGCCAGATGATTTACCTTCGAAAAAACCAACCCTAATTCCGATACTTGTGGAAAAAGCAGCGCAAGGTATTATTGAAGAAGGTAAAGGTATCGGGAAAAAATACGAAGCTGAAGAACTAGCTAATATGCTTCGAGAAAATAAAAACGCGGGAATCGAAGAAGTTTGGAAATGCTGCGCTTATCTTTATACCTTGGAAAGTTTTTTGTACAAAACATTAAATGCAGCGATGAGATTGGTAGGAGACAAAGAACAGGAAAAAGTATGGCGAAGTAAAGTTCGTACACTGGGTCCTTTCTGTTTATTACTATGGGATGATCCATTTAATACAAAATTGACAATCAAAAAGACACTTTATCGAGGAGCCACTCTAACACCTGAGCAAATCGCTAAATACGAAGAGATGGCCAAAGACAAGAAGGCTTATGGGTCATTTCAAGCGTATACATCATGTACTCGAAACTCTGAAGTAGCTGAGTTTTTTAGTGGAAACGTCTTATTCGTCATGGAAGTATTAATTGCTTTTATTGCCGATTTGAGTCCATTATCTCGATATTCTGACGAAGAAGAAGAACTTATTACACCAGGTGTTTGTTTTCGTGTTAGAAGTGTTGAATTTGATCGTAAGAAGAACAAACATTTGATCCATTTGCAATTAAGACAACGATTCTCGCGTAAGTGGAAAAATCTTTTATAATAGCCTTTAAAATACAAAAATATTTTTCTATACATTTCTATTCCCATTTTATAAGGTGCATTAAGATTATAGTAATGGACAACATTACCATTTCTTCATAGAAATATGCTGAAGTTCAATATGATATCGTAATTAACAAGTAACGCTCGTCTGTAGACTCGCTTAGCTCTTTCTCGTAGAAGTGCTGTTTCTAAACTGTTAACAAATTGCTTATTTACGAATTTCCACGATTCAAAATCAGCACATTCACACTGCATTATTCTGCCCAACTGCATCTATCTACACGTTTGAGTTTAGCATTCTGAGCAGAAAGTTGGGCTGATTTTTTTCCAACACTATGATGAGATTAGTAAATTTTATTATCTGCTACTCTTGCCACCTAAATCTCATCATCGATGATAGATTCTGGCTTTTACCTCGAATATCTGTGGCCAACTTTTTTTTATAAAAAAATAACGTTCCTAGATCGAATTACGGGCCAAAAAAATCTGATTGGTTGAATTGCCCCCCCCCCC